GGACTTCGGGCTCACAGCGCGCAGTTGGCAGGCGTATCAGCGCAGCGGTATTTGCAAGAGAAAGCTCCCGAAATCGGCGTTTTCCGTGGCGGGTAAGTCGTCGCCCGCGCCGAAAACAACGGAACCTTGAAGTGCATTTCGTGCGAACGAGACCCGTTCGGGTGACCATGTGGGAGATCGCTTGGGCAATGGCTGCGCACTTGCCGAATTCCGTAGAAGGCGGGCCAATGGGGGCGAGACCGACAAGCGGGTCGAGGTCAGGCGGAAGAGGAGGAAGAGGAAAAGGAAGAGGAGGAACAGGAGGATGATGATGATGAGGAGAAGGAGGAGGAAAACGACGAAGACGAGGGGGAGGAGGAGGAGGAGGAGGAGGAGGAGGAGGAGGAGGAGGAGGAGGAGGAGGAGGAGGAGGAGGAGTGAGGAGGAGGAGGAGGAGGAGTAGGAGGAGGAGGAGGAGGAGGGGGAGGAGGAGGGGAGGAGGGAGGAGGAGGAGGAGGAGGAGGGGAGGAGGAGGAGGAGAGGAGGAGGAGGAGGAGGAGGAGGAGGAGGAGGAGGAGGAGGAGAGGAGGGAGGAGGAGGAGGAGGAGGAGGAGGGGAGGAGGAGGGGAAAAGGAGGAAGGAGGAGGAGGAGGAGGAGGAGGAGGCGAGGAGGGAGGAGGAGGAGGAGGAGGAGGAGGAGGAGGAGGAGGAGGAGGAGGAGGAGGAGGAGGGGGGAGGGGCAGGGGGAGGAGGAGGAGGAAGCAGGAACAGGGGAAGAAGGAGGAGAAGGAGGAAACCGTGGGAAAAAAATAGGGAAAGGAGGAGGACATGGAGGAAACTGATGACAAGGGGAAGAAGATAACTTGGTCGGGTTCCCAAACCATCAAATAACGAGTGGCCCTTGGCCCATGCGCCACCGTACTTGGGTTGTGCGTGTGTGTGTGTGTGTGTGTGTGTGTGTGTGTGTGTGTGTGTGTGTGTTTGTGTGTGTGAGAGAGAGAGAGAGAGAGAAGTCACTCGGATGGCTGATGGGGTCTCGTGGGAGGCCTTTCGGAGGCCTCTTGTAGGCAGTTTGTGGCCCTCTTGGCGGCACTTTGGGGACCTCTTCGGGTCCCGCTGGGGACAGGGCCTCCTGGTGGCTTTGACGGGGGCTTCCCAGGACCCCTATGAGAGCGTTTTGGGGACGAGAGCTGGACATGTCCGTTCGGGTTCCCCTTCAGGGCTTCTTTTTGGGATCGTTCTGTGGCCGTCTTGAGCTGTTTCGGGGGCCTTTTGGTCCGTCTTGGGGCTCCTGTGGGCCGTCTTGGACTCTGCGAAAATCCAAGATCGTAGGTTGTCCTATGGGTATGGGGCGATTCTTGCTTCTTGGGGCCCCCTCGGGAGGCTTCTCGGAAGCCGTTTTGAGCATATTCGGGGCATCTTGGGCCGTCGGGAGACAATCTTTGAAGTCTTGGATCAATCATTCGGCGACTGGGGGCTCTCTTGGACCGTATTGGGGGCCTCTTGAGACCTTCTTGGCCTGTTCTGGGGCCCTCTATGCCCCCATGAGGCGTTCGTCCTGGGCCAGAGGGGGGTGTCACATTCCCGATTTGGGCAGAGGGGGGGATTGTGGGGGGGGAACACTCTCACTGTCCTAGAGACCCAAAAGGGGTCGGCGGATTATGGTTGTCAGTATCGATTTTCACGCGCCGTTTCCGGACGGAGCACCGGTTTGTATCGAACCAGGACGAGTGGAATATGTTGGAATACGGGTTGTTCTTTTGCATCGTTTTGCCATGGTCGATCAGTCTTGGAAAATTGCTGCTTGGCGCTCGAGGGCACCGTGTTACCTTTGGTAGCTTTCAGCAGTACTGGCTGCGGCGTGGCCGCCTGTATGTGTGGTGGCTGCAGACCGTTGTGCAGCTGATGGTCATTGTGCAGCTGTGGACTGGAGGTCTGTCAGTCATGTCGCGCTCTGCGGCGTCAATATCGTTGGCTTCTTGTGGCGCGCTGTTATGGGTACAGATGCTATTTCTGGCCAGCCCATTTGTCATCATCGGCACGCGTTTCCTCCCGATTGTAAGCGCATGGAGCGACATGACGTCATTCCTCCTGGTTAGCGGCTTCCTGCTTCTAGCTTCGGCACAGGCTTCGTACGCTCTGACTGAGCTGCCGCTGATTACCATTGCGATTGACACCTACCTGATGGGCTTCATCGGTGAAATGAAGCCTCAGCTTTTTATTGCGCAGGACACAGACCTCGACCGGAGTGCTCTGAATGATTTTGATTCCGCGGAGGTCTCTCAGACTGGTTTCGGCTACCTTATACTCATGGTCTCGAGTTTCATACTCATGGTGTCGATGGCGAACATTTTCATCCAGGTAATGGGGGATGCGTACAGCAGGAATAAGGAGACAGTGCACATCACGCTGACGCGGGCTCGCGCCGAGGAGAGCCTTATCACCATGCTGTGGATGGCCGGCGGGGTCTCGCTGCTGACGTCCTACGGGACGTTTTCCAGCGTCTGTCTGTCGCTGCTGCCGCAACGGTACCGCCGCCACAGCCATCAAGCCAGGCGGGAGTTTGTGTGGTTCACGCGGGGAGAGCTGCGTGAAATGCAGCAACCCACAATGCATGAGCTGTCAGCGAAGATTGATAACATTGAGAAGCTGATGACCCAGATGACCCAGATGATCGCCGCTCAAAAATGAACGCATCGATTTGTCCTTCTGCTGTCCTTCCCGCCCTTCTTCTGCTAGCACCTCCCCAAGAGACCAGTTGCATTGCAGTTGGAGTTTCTTTGTATGGCGGGAAAGGTATACGTGTGCCTCTGGGGGGCTTCTTAGGACCCCACTCTCCCCTGCGCCTTTTCGGTGCGTCTGTAGACGAATCTTGCGCGTCACTCAGGCCTCTGAGAGGTTCAGGCGCACCACTAACCCGAACGGCTCGCGGGTGCGTGTAGCTTCTTCGCTCCCTGTTTTGGAGGCCCTCAGACGAGAGGGTCCACGAGACGCATTGGAAATCCCTCTGGAGTAAGGTCCATGTGCCCACCGTTGCCCCTTCTTCACAATCGGGGGAGTGCATTCTAGCTTGACGCGTTGTACGCTCCTGCACATCTCGTCGATCTCGCGCTTCCCTTCGTGCATGCCGAGAAAGCCTTCTCTGATAGTGTTTCCCTTGAGTTTATATGTATGTACGTATGTATGTATGTATGCATGCATGCATGCATGCATGCATGCATGTGTGTATGTATGTATGTATGTATGTGTGCATGCATGTATGCATGCATGCATGCATGCATGTATGTATGTATGCATGATGTATGTATGCATGCATGCATGTATGTATGTATGTATGTATGGATGCATGTATGTATGTATGTTTGTGTGTATGTGTGTATGTATGCATGCATGCATGCATGCATGTATGTATGTATGTGTATATGTATGTATGCATGTATGCATGCATGTATGTATGTGTGTATGTCTGTATGTATGTATGTATGTATGCATGTATGTATACATGTATGCATGTATGGATGTATGTATGTATGTGTGTATGCATGTATGTATGTAGGTATGTATGTATGAATGTATGTATGTATGTATATATATGTATGTATGAGTGTGTGTGTATGTATGTGTGTATATAATGTATGCATGTATACATGTATGCATGTATGCATGTATGCATGTTTGTGTGTATGGATATGTGTATGTGTGTATGGATACATGTATGTATGTATGCCTGACTGTATGCATGTATGTATCAATGCATGCATGTATGTATGTGTGTATGTATGTGTGTATGTATGTATGTATGCATGCATGTATGTATGTATGTGTGTGTATGTATGTGTGTATGTCTGTGTGTATGTATGTCTGTCTGTCTGTCTGTCTGTCTGTCTGTCTGTATGTTTGTTTGTATGTATGTATGTATGTACGTACGTACGTACGTATGTATGTATGTATGTATATATGTATGTATGTATGTATGTACGTATGTATGTGTGTATGTGTACATGCATGCATGTATGTATGTGCATATCTATGAGTGCATTTCTAATAACAAGGACGAGAGAAGAGTTTCACAGGAGGGACGGGGAGCCCGAGGACGCCCGGTCCAGCAGCCGATTCTTCCTAGACCTCACAATTAGTTCAGGCGTCGTGCTCTCGCCTCAATGCCAGCTGCCTGTCCGGTCTGGACGGCCACGGTCCCATGGAATGTAACAATACGTGCTACGGTTCCCATGGAATGTAACAATACGTCTTTGTCCCGGCTGCTTTGCTTTGCCCCTGTCCGATTTGCTATCATGGTGTTTTTGCTCGGGTGGCTGGAGGAGGCGCTGCTCGCCGCTGTCGCGTGCCGCCGCTGGCCACGACGGGCTAGGCCGATACGCACGCTTCTCGTGGTCCTCCTCCGCGCAGTCGGAGCGATGAGACCAGGGCCGGCGCTTGGACTCGGTTCGGCTGCACGTCAGAGAGAGATCCTTCGCCGTAGTGGTCTGAGGCACGGGCCCACGAGGGTCCCCCCCCAGCACTGGCCTGCGCCCTCGGATCTGAAGCCTCCGCGGCCCCCGACAGCCGGGCCAAGAGGTCACTCCTGCACAGGGTCCTCTCCTGCGTCTATAGGCGATCGGCGCTCCCGGGCCCCGCCCCTCGGGCGCTCCGCCCTGCAAGCCCCGCGGGCCCGGGGGCCGCGGGCCTCGTCGCTCGCTCGGGGCTGCCCTGCTGCAGGACCAACAGGTCCATGCGGCGTCCACGGCAAGCGGCGTGCTGTGCCCCGCCCTGCCGTGCCGCGCGTTGCCCTGCACGCACCCTGCCGTGCTTCGGCCGTGCCTTGCTTCGGCCGTGCAGTGCTTCGCTTCGGACCCCTGGTCGTGCTCTGCTCTGCCCCGCCCCGCCTGGCTTTGCCTGGCAGCGTCCAGAGGCGTCCGGAGCCCGTGCTCTCTGGCGGCCCGCCCCCGCACCTGGCCTCCCCGCCTGCCCCGTCGCTGAGCGCTCCGGCCCCCGCCCCACTCGCAGCCCGTGGGCGCCCACAGGAGGCCAGCGCACGACTGGCCGCCGCGCGGGCCCGGGAGCGGGGGCGAGGAGTACAGGACCCGCGCGGGCTGGGGTGAGAAGAGGGCCGATCGCGTAGAGTCTGGTGGGGAGGGGGCGTGTCCCGATTTTCTCTGTTCGTTCAACTGACCCCCTATCCCCGTCCCCATATCCCTATCCAGACTCCCACCGTCTCAGCGTCCCAGTTGGGGATATATACCCCTCGAAACCACAAATGTCCCCATCTAGGGGGGGTAAATCGGCCAGTGGGGCCCAAGCCACGCCCATGGGGAGAAGGGTTGGTTCAGCGATGCAATTTTGCCGCATGATTCGGTGTCCAGGTTTGCCTCGGAATGGCCTCGGATGGCCTCGGAATGGCCCCAGAAGAGCCTCGGCGTGGCGTCGGGTGGCCCCGGAGCGGCTTTGGATTGCCTGGGGTGGCCTTCGAGCGGTCTCGGATATGGCGGATGGCCCAGTCCACCAGTAGCTCCTACAATAAATAGTTCAAACTTATAAAGTCCGATTAACAGTTCGAACAATAGTTCCATGAGATCCACCTATACTTCCAACATGTAAAGACCGAAGGGGCCTCGCCGCAGAGAGGTTCAGGATTTTCGGGCGCGTTCGTGGGTTCTCGTCGGCTTTCCCAGCCTCAGGATGCCTTCGACGGCTGCGCCTCGCCGAGGACGTTCCAGGGCTGTCCAGATCGTCCCGAAGGGCAGCCAGAGAGCCGAGTCATGAGCTGAAAATCAGGCTTCCAACGTACGGAACAAATCATGGTGGAGTTTTTCGTAATTTTCGTTCTCTGCGGGCACGGACCAGGCCCTAGGGCCGTCAAAGAAGGCTCAGGATGAGCAGGCAGCCCCAGGGAAGGGGTCGGGGCTTCCAGGGATCCCGTTTTGAAACAATCAAGACATCGGATCTCTGGGGATTATGGCGGCGGCGAGGGTGGTGGTGGTGGTGGTGGATGGTGGTGGTGGTAGGTGGTGGTGGTGGTTGGTGGTGGGGGTTGGGGGTGGGGGTGGGGGACGGTGGTGGGTGTGGGGGTGGGGGTTGAAGGGTAGTGGTGGTGTTGAGGGTGGTGGTGAGGGTGGGGGTGGTGACGACATGGTGAGGGTGTTGTTTTTGCGATGGCTGTGGTGGGTCTGGTGATGGCGATAACGATGCCGATTATTTTGGTGGTGGTGATTATGGTAATAGGGGAGGGCCAGTATGAATGGGTGAAGGCATGCAGTGGTGGTGGACGGGCATGGCGATGATGTCGAGTGGTGGCGAAGATCATTCTAAGTGTGGTCGGGTAGGGCAGGGAGCTCGGGGAGTCCTGCTGCCGACTGGATCATCTGCTCAAGCGCCAGCATCCTGCGTAAGCGGAGGAGGAGGAGGAGGAGGAGGAGGAGGAGGAGGAGGAGGAGATCCATCTTTCTGGGCTGGGCACGCTCTTCACAAGCGCCCGTTCCCTGGAGGGACACTGGTCCCCGCGGAACCCCGCAGTCCATGTTCCTTCAAGCATCCAAAGGGAGGGGTCGTGGTAGCTCTCGGAGGGGGGGCGGGGGGGGCATGGGAGCTCTGAGTTCGGAGCGCGACGCGCTGCGCAGAACGAGAGCCAAGGGTCAGGGGTCGGAGAAGCAGGAGCACAGGAAAAAGGAAGACGACGGAAGCAACTCTCTTGAATCAGGGGCCCAGGCTCTTCCTCGAGCGATGCCAGCCTGTTGCGCAGTGGATTCGTATTCGGGTGGCAGCTTCTTTGACGCTGCTGTCATCGTCTAATCTTCCTCGCGTGCCTCTTTGTGCACATCGTGAGGACGTGAAGGGTCGATCGGCAGTGATCGAAATGATCGATCCGTATGGCAGTCGCCTCCAGCCACGTCCTCAGCGGGTCTGTCATCTAGGGCAATGCCACTGCAACATAAGAAACAACACATGAGGACGCGGAGGGTTGGTGGTCGTTCGCCCTGTGCGTGACGAACATTCAGTCAGAATCGGCGTTAAGGATGAGCCCTTGAGACAAGTCACCTGCTTACTCCTTGGCTCTGGGCGTCCTTTGTATGCTCCTGTGCCTCGGTCTAAAGATACAGTGGCGTCTTGGCGAACTGGAGAGTTGCCTTACGTGTTTATTTTCCATTCGCATGGCTGGTTTTGACTGCAGTGCGACACGCTCTGAGGGCCAGTGGCTGATCGCACTTGCGACTTCAACCCGGCGATGAGTAGTGACAGCATCTGCGCCACTGCAGTCTCCTTTCCGAGGCGGGGATTTATCCATCAACACCACACGGGGGATCGAGCTTCGCATGCCTCGGTTGGCGGTGGATATGGATGCATTCGGGTCCCGCGGGGGCCAACTATATCCATGTCCACCGCCTGCCGATGTCCCCCCAGGAGGTCGATCCCCGAGGCTGTGGCCATGGATAAATCCCCACCTCGCATCCTTTCCCTGCTCAGCGCACCACCGTTCCTCCAGAGCGGTGTTTGTGGCGGCGCTCCCGCGCCCCAAGACGAGAGAGCCGCCCGGCGACACATGTGGTCTGAGCGGCCTGGGTCACGATGAAGTGCGGACGGTGCTCGCTCGGCAGGTGGGGGAAAGGACCTGGACCAGAGAATCAGAGGAGCAATAAGTCATGACAATGATATGTTCGGTAATTTGTTCTGCATGGGCTCCAGGAGCGATGGCCGCTAGATACTGCGGAAATCCGGGAACTTTTCCTGAGGCTGATGTTTTCATGACACCTTTCGTCCAAGAGAAGGTAGAGGGGAGCGGGAGAGAATGCAAGCAAGTTGCGCTCGCGCCGCACCTGCCATCCTACCCCTCTCACCATCCTTTCCAATTGCATTTTTTTCCTCTTTCCGCCGACCGGTGTCTTAGCGGACTTGGTCCTCCCAGGAAGGACCCCATTTTGTTAAGCTCAATCTGAAAAAGGGCAGCTGCGCACATTGGATCAGGAGGAGGAGGACGACGAGGAGGAGGAGGAGGAGGAGGAGGTAGCGGATGAGCAGGAAGATGCGCATTAGGAAGATGAGGAGGATGAGGAAGGACGAGGACGAGGAGGAACAGCAGCAGTGACTGGAGTGGCCCCGGGTGGGGGAGGGGGCCTTTTGAAGCTGGCCGGTTAGGGGGGGTAGGGTGTGCAGGGGCGACTGACCGAAGGCAAAGAGCCATGGGGGCTCCCCTCACGAGCCAAGGCAGCGTTGGAACTCTTCCGCCCGGAGGAGTAGGAGCGCGTTGGGCTTCGGGCGAGGTCCAAGCGGCGCCAGCTGCAGGGGTAACCCTTCCTCGTCGCGGGAGGAGCCAGACGCAGGAGCGCAAGATGCTTGGTGTCCCGTTCGGGAGCGGCCCAGAGCAGAGGGGGGGTGATGACTTAGAGGGTGGTGGATATCGTCTGTGAGACCTCCCCGGACCCCATGGCCCCCTCTTCTCATTTTACCAGCGCGTCCCTTGACCCCACCCCCATGTGCCGCGCACATGACTCCGGCCATGATGCGCACCCTTCTCTTTGACGCCACCGGCTACTGGCGGATCACGCAGCGACGCGAGTGACCCAGGGAACCTCGCTTCTCGTGCGCTGCTGTCGCGCTGCGGTGTTCGGACTGCGCAGGCCGTGTGGTGAGGTCGGCCTTGCGCGTGGGCCCTCTCCTCCAGCGCCGCCGCGTCGGTATGGCGGTCGCGTCGCATGTTGCCGCAGCTTGGGGCAGCCTCGGGGCCTGAGGTGGCCCAGAACTGATTCCAGCGAGCAGGAGGGGGGGGACAGGTTCGGGGTGCTGGGATCGAGTCGTTTATATCGAAAGGCTGCCGCCTCTGCCGCCGACCCTAATTGAGCGACGTATCTTTCATTCGTTTGTTGTCGGGCTGCCTTTCCGAGCACGGTAGGAAGGGTTCAGGTGAGACATCCAGGCTTGAGCCTCGCCCCCTGGACTCTTGATTCTCTGTTGCACCTCGGGCTCCTCTCTATCGAATAGCCATCGGCCCATCTCGCCACTGCGCCTGGGTTGTGGGTGTGAAGCCTATTGGATGTTCGGTGAGATTTCGAGGGTGACCTTTAGGGAGCCTCTTGGATTGGATGCAGTTTTGAGGCCTCTTGGGGGCAGCTTTGGAGCCTCTTGGGGTCGCTGTTGGGTCCCCTGGGCGCCTCTTGGAGCCTCTTGGGGCCTCTTGAGTGCCTCTTGGGGCCTCCTGGGGGCCTCTTGGGGCGGAACGCTCGGATTGTGGGTTCGTGTTCCCTCTCTCGGGCCACTATTGGGGCCATCTTGGAGGCCGCTTGGACAGTCCTGGGGTGGTATTGGGGGCCTCGAGGGCCGTCTGAGAGCGTCGGGAAGGAAGCGCGGCGAGAACGCCCAAATTTTTGAAACAACGAATACAAATCAATGGTTGTTGCCTCTCAGGGTCCTCTCGGGAGGCATCTTCGAGGCCTCTTGGGGCATCTTGGAGGCCTCCTGGGCCATCTTGAGGCCATTCAAGGCGTCTTGGAGCGATCTTTGGGCGGCTCGGGGCGTTCTGGGCCGTCGTGGGCCTCTTTGGGCCCTGTTGGGCCCGTTCTGGAGCTCCCATCGCTCCGAAACGGTCGCGCGAGAAACCGCGAGAAGCCCCAGGAGAAGACGTCGCGACGCGGGGCCTGGGGCTCTTGAACGACTCCTCAGGCGTGATGATTTTGGCAAGGACCTAAGGGCACGCCCACTCCGTGCCCAGAGGCACGGTGGCGGATCTACAGAACCATGGTAATCCGATGATCATCGTCCCGACAGGTCGCATCGCATTTCCGAGCTCCAATGGGGGAGCCGCCTGGGGGTATTCCAATTTGTTGGTTTGAATCGAGGGAGGTGGCAGAGACTCAGGTTAGCGGTCGGTAGATTGGGCGAGGTGGCAAATATTATCCAGGAGCAGCAACGACCCCATCCCCGAAGGGGAACAATGGGGTTAGACAAGGAACCGCGATTGACCATCTCCTGCCCAGAAGACGGGTGGGTTTTTGAGTTAGGAGACCCCATGCGAGGAGTTGTTTGTGTCGGTTCCGGCGAAGCCATCATCGTTAATTTGGGCCCTGAGATGCCGCCTGTGAGGCGGTCCGGC